AAAAAAAAAAAAAAAACACTTTTATGTGGAGGTGCAAGTCATATTTCTTAAAATTCAAGGGTTAATTGAATATTCGGAAAATACATCCACTTACAAATCAATATCAAATGCTATCGATCTTTTTCCTTTACTCTGCCTTTAAACCCTAGCTAGAGTTGTTGCTTTTCGTGACCCCCACAGCAATGGCGACCTACGACTTGACTCCACGTAGAGCACCAAACCTCATCCGATATCTAGTCTTCCTCTTGGGGTTTCTGCAGGAGCTTGATAGATCCAGAAATTGGATAGAAGAATTAGAAAAAGAATCAAGGGAGAACAGATCCAAGAAGAAGAAGAAGATAAAGATTAGAAAGGGGGATCCAAGAAGGATATAGAAGGAAGAGGAAAAGTGTGTTTATAGTCATCAATCAATAGATTTTTAGTTACAAAGCCGTCCCTTATATAAGGCTAATTACAATTATAGACCTCAATAAACTCCTTAACAAACAGACCCATATTTCCAGCTCAGCATAGATAATTAGACTGTAAAAATGCCTCCCTCTCTAAAATCCTTGTCCTCGAGGATTAGGATGAAAATCTGGAAATATAATGAAGATATCAGCTCTAGTTTCTCAAGAAGCCTCCTTTGCAGTACACCTCTTCCACTAAATTGACCACACAGTAATGGGTTTTCCATGACAATTTTGCACCATTCTATCCATAATTTTGTCAAGAAAGAGATGTTGCCCATTATGAATCAACAGATCAAGGAATTGGGAAGTTATTGGTGCACTTCTCACCTTCTTCTTCAATAAAGAAACATGAAAGACATTATGTATCCTGGCATTTTCTGGCAATTGCAACTTGTAAGCCACAGGACCAACCCTCTGAAGTACCACAAATGGTCCACAATACCTAGGAGACAACTTATGAGTCCAAGTTTGCAACAAACTGGATTGTTAGAATGGTTGAAGTTTCAAATAAACTTGATCCCTTATAGCAAATTGTCTGTTAGTTCTATTCTTGTATGAAAGTTGCTTCATTCTATTTTGTGCCCTTGTTAAATGAAATTTGGGCAACTATAAAGCTTGCTTCCTTACTAGTAAGGTTCTGTTAACTGCTTCAAAGTTGGAATTCCTAGGAAGGTGTGGAATATGCATAGGAGCAGGTTGACCATATAAAACCTCATAAGGTGTGGTTTGGTTAGCATAATGGAAGTTGGTATTATACCAATACTCCACCAAAGAAAGCCAAGATGACCATTCTTTAGGAGATTCACCACAAAACAATTAAGTGCCTTTGTCTGCCCATCAAATTTTGGGTGATATGCAGAAGACATGTGTAAAGAAACCTTGCATAATTTGAATAGCTCCTTCTGGAACAAACTAGTGAATACTGGATCCTTGTCACTCACAATCACCTTAGGCATGCCATGCAGCTTATAGATGTGAGACAGATAAAGCTAAGCAATCTTTAAGGCAGTATAAGGGTGCATTACTGGTATGAAATGGGCACACTTACTCAACCAATCTACCACAACCATGATGACAATATAGCCTTAGGAACTTGGAAACCCTCAATAAAGTCTATAGAGACTTCTTTCCAAACTCGATGAGGTAGGGGCAATGGTTGTAAAAAACCTGCTTGGTGAGTGGGTTCATACTTGTGTAATTGACAAGTGTAGTAGCCTCGAATAAAATTTATAATATCCCTTTTCATGCCTTTACAGTACACCAATGAAGATAGCCTCTATATAGTAGCTAGTACTCCTAAGAGCCCCTCTATAGCCTCAGTATGTATCATCTATATTAACTTGGTCCTTAGCTACATATCATTACCCACCATCAACTTTCCTTTTCTTTTTAACTGGTGATCCACATAGGAATATTTTCCATCATTGTTACTCTTAGCTTGCAGCATGATTATGATCTATTGTAACCTTGGATCCTTATGCTAGGAATCTTGGATCTCAGCTATCAAAGTAGTAAAGATAAAAGATAAGGCCGTTAAGGATATACTCATAGTAGACACATGAGATAATGCATCAACTACATGATTCTCTATCCCTTTCTTGGATTTGATTTCATAATCATACCCCAAAAGTTTAGATAGTCATTTTTGTTGTGCCAAAGTAACAATCCTTTATTCCAGCAAGTATTTAAGAATATGGTGGTCTGTCTTGATAACAAAGTGCCTCCTAACTAAGTAAGGTCTCCAATTAGTCACCACCAATACTAAAGCCAACAACTCCTTCTCATAAGTAAACATACCCTGATGTTTGGAGCTAAGGCTTTACTTAAAAAAGTAATTGGGTGATTATTATGCATTAGTACTACTCATACTATAACACCCCGTATACTTTAGTGAAAAGATAAAAAATGAGAGTCCTTTAGTTTATAGTTTTAGGGATTAAATTGATTGGATTTAAAGTTTGGGAGTTTTAAGTAGAACTTAGGAGTAGTTGAAGGGTCTTAGCTCAATTATTCCAATTTCTTTTACCACATGGCATTACACCAAGCAAGGATTTTTTGGCTGGTATTGGATAAACCTCTAGAAGGCTCCTGAAGCCCCACCACTCCTTTGTATCCTTCCTTCTTCCCATCTGCACCTTTCTTCCTCCTTCCAACTTGGTGTTGTGCTAAATCTATACTCTCTAGCTGAAGATTTCTTGCAATTTTACTGCTTTATGCTTGGATTTTTGTAGGTAAGCACAAGTTTTAAGCTATGAATTTGAAGTTAGAGTTTTTGGGTAAGTTATAAATCTGTTATAATAAAAAATAAAAATTAGTTAAATGAGTGGAATTTGGCCCTAAAACTTTAGTTTAGCAAACTTTTGGCATTAAAAATGTGTTAGGAATATATGTCAATTTTGGGGCTTGTACAAGAAGAAGAACAGTGAATTATTCCTTGTTTTTTTTTTTATGTTTGATTTAGTGTGAATTTTATGGATTAAAGGATCCTGTTGGAACTGTTTCACGGATACTGTTCACAGATTACTGTTCGCGTGTTACTATTTACACATACTGTTCAGGCACTAATTACTATTTATGCAGAATACTTTAATTTCTTTCAATAAGAAGTTTTATGGAATATGTGAATTGTGTATGTGGATATTAGTATGAAACTTGAATTGTTCATACCATAGATTAAGGGGAACATTAAATGGAATAATATTCTAATATTATTCTGGAC